TGTAGGGGTCACCTCGAGTGAAGAAACAAGGTTTACTGCCTCGAAGCAGGCCTCGGAAAGGCCTGACGAGAAGGCAGGAACACTGAACTCTATTTAGGCCATGACAGGTCGTTTTAACCTAGAAGAGAATTTCTCAGTTCTCTTAATCAGATAACGGACAGAACAATCTTTTCTGTTCATGATTCATTTGTTGTTTAACTAAGAATGTTTTATGCATTTGTTAAATCATATAATGACTGTCACAAAGAAAGTGGAATCACTTCTACTCTTTTATCGTGCCTAAAAGATTAATTAATGGTATAAAAAAATCACAGAGAAAATCATTACCATGTTTTTCATTGTGTTTTTATATAAATCACTGTTTTTATTTTACTGGAAACATCAGTAATATAATTTTGAGTTTTTCTTGAGAAAATCTTTCATTTATCTGGACCAACAAATGGCTCAGACTGATTATTTAAACAGAAATGTTAATTAATCATTATTTACTTACAGTGATTTCTCTTAGAGTCTATCAGAAGGAAAAGCTAAAGAAGAGGTTATCATATTTCTGTTGTGACAACCAAAGAATTTCAACCTTGACTGGCGCCGCTGGCAAAGCTTTATCTTCCTTTCTTTTCCTGACTCGTTAACGCCTGAGGGCGGAACCAAATTCGTCCGTTTCTATTACTAACACGGACGTCTTTGAGAGACGGGACACTTCTTCCTGGATGCCGAACTGGGGAAGGAAGGCTGAATTTCTCTTCGGAGAAATCAGCTCGGCCCTTAGATCTTGCCCATAAGCCAATTAGGGAGATCTGATGGCCAGGACAGTGGCACGCAGCGACTGTCCATCCGAGACTCAAGTCTCTAAGTGTTTTTCAACTCCCGAGGGGAGAACTTTATTTTGAAAGACCGAACCGGATACTCCAGCTTGAATCTTTCTGGCGAAGATCGAAGCAGACGAAAGTTGCCTAAATAACACTTTTCGCCGGGGAACAGTGAGCGGGCCGAACGAAACGTTCCCTGACTGATCGGAGGTGAGACAGTATTTATCTGGGGTGTGGTAAAGAAGCCAACAACAGGTAACGCTGTCGTGTTTCGGGTGATGTGTCATGTGGAGATCTCAGCGCAGAGAGGACGTGCTGGTCCGGTTGATACACCTTAACAAAATAAGAGTAGTGAAACACTAACCTTATTTTCACCCTTTCCTTTGCCTTTATTTGCCAAAACTTAAGCAAAAAGTGCCAGTAAAATTGTTTGGTTGTTAACATCAGAACTGACGTTTTACTGTTCTATATGAGTAATCTGAGTTTAATGTGAATTAAAATTCGGACGCGAGTTTTACCTCATTTTAACTTTGAAGCTTGTTGTAGGAAAACCACAATCAGGTGTACTTATGATCTGTTCAATTTGTGTAAATAAATGATTGCATAATCTTTTATGAATCAACTTGAACTCGTCTGAACGTTCCCTTATTGTGTCACTTTTCACTTTGCACAGTCAAGATATTAAAGTAATGAGAAAATACCTTGGTAAAATTTCCCTCATAACTTTGTGATGAGAAGTATGTAGGAAGACTTATTTAACATAAGTCTAGCTCCTACACTATAAAACATAAAACAGAAATTAAATAGGTTGTTGAATGAGCAAAACAGATGAAAATAAAATATGATATTTAGATGTACAACTATTATTAATTTATTATTATTATTATAATTTGACTTTTTTTTACATTTTTCTCTGATTTACTTCTTGCTTCCTTCTTGTTGGTTCTGTCTGTGGCTAAAACAGTGTTCTATGACCCCATAAGCGGTTCTGTAGTCTCTTTCACAAGACAGGTCCGCAAAATCACCGCACAGACCGGTCAGGCTTTAAGCTCCCTCGGGTCATTCATAAAATCACCAGTGAAGCCGGCCAGGTCCCGCTCACATGTATGCGTTCAGAAATGAACCCAGCAGTGCGGAACCAAAAGAGGCGTGGAGCAGATCACAGCTGGGCTGAAGTGGACCGCATCGTATTTATTGTGTGACGGACAGCTGTCTCGTATCAAACAAACCAAACAAAACAAAATAAACTTAAGGCCCTGTCACACTAGACAACTTATGAAACATTTTTTTGGTCTAAACTGCTAAAAAAAGTTATACATTTGATCAATTTGTTAGAATTACATTATATGCACGCTGAAAAGAAGCTTCCTGTTGATTTCTTCAATTCCAGCTTCAACGTAGAGGTCTTTAAAATGTTCATAAGTTGTCTAGTGTGACAGGGCCATTACTATGGTTTAATACAGGGGAGCTCAACCAGCTGGTTCCCAGGTGCCCGCAAAGCGCAACCTTGCTCTAACAGCTGACGTCAGCTGTTAGAGCAAGGTTGCACTTTGGCCAGGAGCTCACTGAGCTTCATTCTAATGGTGCGTTCACACCGAACGTGATTTCAGCGTCAGGAGCAGCAGGTTTACATACAAAAACTATGGTGGACGCGCTTCAAGCAATGTCGAGAAGTGCTGCGACCCATTTTGTTTGTACTGTTCAGGAAACCAGCCCCAAGAGGTGCTGCATTTCTACAACACAGTCTCCCAAGCACCAGTCCCACCCCACACACGCACTGTTTGTACCAGAAGCCCCCAGTTTGGGTGCGCTAAATGTTCAGATTGTACAAAATGGTTGTGTAAATTTGTTGAACGTGTCAATAAAAGAAACACTTCAAAAACAAAAAAATCAAAAAATCAGAAAAGTTGTGAGCGACAGTCATATAATGCTGCACCTCTCTCATGCGACAGAGGGCAGCAGGACTTCGCTAACACAAGTCAGTCGCCTAACGACGCGGCTATCTCTCTGGGGCACATGCGCACCATCCCCTTGGGTAGAGAG